CAATATTAACAACTTGCTCACCAGTCATATCATGAGATAGGAACTCTGAGCGACTTCTAACCACATCAAGGTGTAGACTGTGATGGCCCACAGCCCAGCCCTGGGCTCAAGTGCACTCACCCCGAATCCCAGCTCTGTGACCTCGGGTCAGCTGCCAACCTCGTCATCTGTAAACTCGTGATGACAACACTATCTATCCTTCCAAGGACTGCGAGGATTACGGGGAAATGCGTGAAAGCTCATGGCACAAGGCCTGGCAGTAGGAAGTGCTCAGCAGCGGTGGCTTTTAATTGTAACTAGCAAGGTTAACCGCAGAACTTGGAGACTTGCTATCAACAGACAAGCTACTGGCTCTAAGGTCTTCCTAACAAGCGCGGTGATGGAAGATCAACTCCAAACCAGGGATCGCATTTCAACGTGATACGTACTAGGCAAGTGTGCTTTCGCAAAGAAAAGTTCAGGTGAGTTGTTTACATACCACTTATATTCTTTTGTCTGATTTTCATATGTGAAAATGGTGAGCTTAGAAATAAAAAGTAATTTCCAAAGGTTTAAAAAAACTATGGTTGGAGCAACTGGAGTTTTCACTCCCTGCTGGCAGCACCATATTCACACATCCGCTCTGGAAAGCTGGTGCGTCAGCTGACACTGTGCTGGGCGTGCCCGCCGGCACTTGGATATGCACCCAAATGGAATTCTTGTTCATGGGCTCATCAAAAGGCACTTGCTTATCATGCTCACACAGCAACAGTCCTGATAGCTCCAAACTGTGCAGTACCCAGAGTTTCACCAGCATGAACTATGGCATATCACAAACGAGTGCTGTGCAGCGGTGAGAATGCAGCATGACTACCTGGACAATCTGAATGATCTGAAACCAAATGTTGAGCAAAGTAAGCCATAGATGAAAAGGTACATACTGAACGATACCACTTACATAAAGCTCAGAAATAGGCAGAGGCCATCTACCGTTGGTGGTTACCCTGGAAGGGCACAGAGCCAACTGGGAAAGGGCATCTGGGGCTTTTGGGGTGACGGCAGTGCTGTTTTCTCTTTCTGGATGCTGGTTACATGGGTGGGTCCAATTTATGAAAAGCCAGGGAGTTTGTGCTTCTTGGCATGTTCATACGGTCACATCTTTGTGCACCAGTAGTTAAAAAACACAAAATTTATGGCACAAAACTTTAAACTGATCATTTTTGTTTGTTTGTTTAGTGCCCTTATTTGTCTAAAAAGGATTTAAGAAACTTAAAAATTTCCATAAGCTTAAATAAAACTGAATCTTTTTTTATAGCGGCACAAATACCTTAGTCAAGCAGAGTACTGCTAGGAAATAGTACTTCTGAACATAAACTCCAAAAGAGCAAAAATACTAAAGCTATTTATTGTAAATTCCTTGGCAAAGTATCTACCAAAGAATTAACTGAATTAACCAGGGATTAAATGATTTTTTCACTCAAAAACTACTTAGCACACTCTTACAGCTTGGCAGTCCTACAGTCCAAAAATGCCAGGGTACACATTATGCGCCTTCTGATTACAGACTGCTGTGAAGTATTCCCAGTGAGGACTATTCACATTTGATGAAACGCCACCTACAGGTTAGTCTCATTCTAGTTCTGAAAGAATTCACATCTATGAATAAGAAAACAGGATATAAGGAGGACAGACTCTGAGTCAAAGAAATCAACCGACAAAAGTATGATCCAAGTACTATATGACTCTGCCTAACAAGATTCATCCTGAAAACCACTTTTCCCAACTTATAATACAGTAAGAAACAAATACATAGCCCAAAGATGAGGAGAATCCCACAGTATACTGAGTCCATTTGCAGTTTTTTTTTTTTAAGGTAGACAAGGAGAATGGGATTTGGGAAACATTCTTAACTGCTCTGGGGTAATGACTATTTAAAAATGTGCTACTTTGTTAAAATCTTGGATATAATAAAAATTTTGTAAAAACTAGATAATTAAACTAGTTATTGTGTTGCAGTTACATACAAGCTATTACATTATAAGGTTAAATTTTATTGGCTTATTTTGTAGTCATATTACACATGTTCAGAATGCAAAGTTAAACTCCATTTCTGACTAAAACAGAGCAATACAGAATAAATTAATACTCAAAGACCTGTGTTAAATGTGCACAAGAAGATACCCATAAATTATAGTATAGGCACATTATATTTACATGTATATATATGTGTGTGTGTGTATAAATAATTATATTTAGTTATAAAAATGCATTTAGGGTCATTTTTGGAGCTAACTGACCTTAATGAAACACTTCTTGAACTAACTTCCACATGATAATAAGAGCTCAGGAGTGACTCCCACAGCTGTCTGATCCCGTGCTGGGTCCGGCTCCTGGCCTGGAGGTGCAGCCGCACAGAGCTGAGTATGACGACCCCTGTCCTCAAGGAGCCTCAGTCTAGTAGGGAGGAGACATACTAGACTGTGAGCTCCTCGAGGGCAGGAGAAGTGTCTTGGTCATCTTGCCCCAGGGACCAACACCAGGCTCAGCCGCTGTGATGCTCACAGCTCTGGGGACTCAGGGGCACGCACGCAACCATCTGGGAAGCGTAGGGTGGGCACTGCAGGGTCAGAGAGCTCTGGGACCTAAGGGTGGAGGAGAGCCGGCTGCAAAACCATGGACGGCCAGCTCGTGGTGAAGCTCAGAAAGATGGCAGGATGCCAACAAGCGGGGAAGGAGGCACTCTGGCCAGAAGGTGGGCTTAGTTTGGCCCTGGTGTGAGGGACGGGTGGGAAGATACTGTCAGGCCATAGTGCAAGGAGTCTTCGGTGCCACTCTGGAAGCCTCTACCAAACACGGGCCTAACAGGAACCCACCAGAAATTGTTTGGAACGAGGGTGTTCTTCTCCCACAATGATGCTTCAGGAGCCTGTCTAACGAGTAGGACCAAGAGGCAGGAAGAGTTGGGGTGCAGGAGCAGGGGAGGGAGTGCCCCAGCTGGTCAGCTGCGGGGGTGGGCAAAGAGTTACTGATGATCCCAAGATGAAGATGAAGATAATGGTACCACTGAGGCCTACGGATGGTGAGTGGCAAGAGCCGGCCGAGAGAAGATAACAGACTCGCTGTAGGATAAACATGATGTCCAGTGGCAATTCAAATCGCAGGTTTGGGATGTGTGAGAGAAGCGCAGGATGGAAGCTCAAGACAGACAGACGTGAGAGGTTCAAATAGTCCAGAAGGGGAACAGAGAGGGGGAAGGAGGCAGCTGGGAACAGAAATGTGGCCCACACTCGCAGTAACGTCAGAGGAATAGCGGGTGAGCGTGAGCGCCGTCAGGGCGCGGGCAGGTGGCGGTATCAGAGAGGGGAGGAATTTCAAGAACAGAACCTCAAATTCTGAGGGAAGATAAAAAGAGGAACGAAAAAATTCATGAAATTAAGCTTGTTCAAAATCCTGCTCTAACAGTGAGAGCACATATAACTAGGTCGTGTAAAAATTAAGACCCTGGAGGTTTTTAGCTTGAAGACAGCTGTCTATGAATGCTTGGGGGCCCCCCATTTGAAAGGCAGAGCAGAGCTGCCGTGCGGCTCCAGCGAGGGGAGCCCCGCCCTGGGGGAGCAGCAGGGCCCTGGAGGAGCCGGCGCTAGAGGTGCTCTCGCTGGAGGGTGGCTACCTGCCGACTCCTCCTCCTCCACGGGACTTCCCACTCTGGGGGCAGGTCTGTGCTTTGTTCACTGTGGAATCCCCAGTTAGAGCGACGTGGGCACTTAGCCGACAGTCGTTAACCGGACGTGTCTCTTACGTCTATACCCACTCACCCTGATTCTTCCTGGTCGGGAAACCTGTCCAGCAGGTGAGCTGCATGAGGGTGAAGTGAGGCTAGAGCGGCTGAGGGGGGTTCCCGCCCTGGGGTACAAGCCTGGGCTACACGAGCAGTAAGGGTCTGTTAAGATCCTGATATCTGATAATTTTATGAAGACTACAATACAGGAAATTAAAAAATAATCTCGCAAGCAGGGAAATCCCCCAAATATGAGAACAGGTAATCCAGCATACATTACCCCATGGCATTGGCTAGTTGGTTGGTTATAAAATGAATCTCCCCATGCATATGTATTATATTACAATATCTTGTTCATTAAAGTACGGAGTCTCAAAATAGATTTGAATCCAGTTCAATACAACAACTGTTCACTGAGCACTCACTAGGTACCTGATCCTAGGCTTTGCACAGAAGTAAGTAAGACACAGCAGGGCCCACCAGGCTCTGGGTCTGGCTGGGGACACATAAGCAGATGAGAAACTCTGCAGGGCCGCCTCTGGGCCGACATTCTGAGGGGCTCAGCAAACCAAGTCCCCGTGTGTTCCACCCAGAGAACTGGGAGCCACTGGAAGTTTGGGTCTGACAGTACCTGGGACAAAATGACAGCTGAGCGGCAGTGTGGATATTCTAACTATAATCACAGAAGTGTTGAAAAGGTGTCAAGGAAGTGGCTCTCTCTTTGGGGGTAGGGTTGATTAGGGGAGTTTCCTGAAGGAGGTGAAATCTGAGCTGGATTCTGAAGGCTGAATGGGAGCTTATCAGTTGGTAGAGTGCAGAAAGCATTTCTGGGAAAGAAAAAGGCAGGTGATAAGGCAGTGAGCCATGCTGGGAGAATCATAAGCAGAAAGGTGTTGCTGGAGTGGAAGTACCAGGGAGATGATGGAGGGCCGGGAAGGGGCTGGAGAGGAGGAAGGGATGAAGTCACCGATGCATCATCATCTTGTAAGCCATGCCAAGTCAGTTAGAAGTTAGGGGAGAGATTTGATGACAATTTGAAGTTTATTAAGATTTTACAATATAGTCTACTTAAGACTCTAGTAAGATATAAATAAATACAAATCAATTACACGTCTTTATGTTGCCCAAGGAGTAGGTTAGCCTTGGATGCACTGATAAATGACCTCGAAGCGCTATTTCTGCAAGGGGGGAGAAGCAGCGCAGGCCTGCCCCAGCCCCGGGCCCTCTCTCCCTCCACTCCTACCTGAGCTGAGCTTTGAGCTCAGTGAACCGGGGCCGCCTGCTGGGGTCATAGGCCCAGCATTTCGTCATAAGGCTGTAGAGGGTAGGAGGGCAATTTGGAGGCATTGGTAATCTTTCCCCATTCTCAATTCGACCGATCACATCATTGTTCTTCACTCCTTGAAAAGGCTTCACACCATGCATCAGTATCTCCCACATACATACACCTGTGAAGTGGGAATGAAAACATCACAGTGAACTCGGCAGGAAGAGGGTGACCCCATGTCTCAGGAATCCCTACACAGCCGGCACAAGGCTGCCAGCTGTGCGATTTTGGCAAATCTGCTAAATAAAGCAGCATTCGATTAACTGTTATAAAATAAGAACAGCAAAACTAATTTTAAAAACTACTTATATGATGTCAATAATGAAACACTGAATTATTACCAAGAAAAAAATCATAATTTTTCTAAGAAATGTATTTCTCTAAAAATCCTACATTAGAAAATGGCCCACTAGCTACAGTGGTAACTCATGACTTAATGAACCAGTACAAAAAGAGCTGAATGAATTTTAGACCCCACCCACCCACCCCCACTTCAGTCCAAACTGCTTATGAGTACAGCAACTGACCTAGGGCCTTACAAAGAAAATCCTAAAATTTAAGTCTTACACTTTTCGAATACTCAGATTCCTTTACAGATTTCCCTTAAAGAAGTTGGCTCATCCTTGCTGAGGGGGCCCAATGGCATTATTTTCTGTTGTATCCACTGTTTTGGGCTTCTCACCCACAAACTCCACGATGAACCTCACAAAGCTTTCTCCTGCTCTGCCCTGGAAATCACAAGCTTCTCAGTCTCTTCTGAATGACACTTTAAAATAAACAAGCACACAAAACCTGCAGAGGAGAATGACAGGAGAACCGAGAGGGTGGGCCAGCACAGATGGCGCATGGTTCCCTCCTAGGCGCTTCTGACCACCACCTGGCACTCTGTCTGCTCTGGAGGTCCTGCCGCACCCTCAACATGCCACAAATGTGCCTTAGCTTGTGTTAGAATTCTCTATATGTAATGCCATTTTCTTTTCCCCTTCACAAGCTCTCTTTTCAAGTACGTTTGTGAGTTTTTCTATAACACCCTTCCTGCGTCTCCCACCCCCATTCCCGCTGTACAGGGCTACCGGGCAGGCAGAGCCTTGGGGAGGGGCACCAGACTTGATTCTGTCTCTTCAGCACCTATCACAGTACGTGCCTCAAAGGGGGCAAGGCGCATTATCACATTAACATGAATTAGATTCTGAAATTAGCCAAAGTCCCCTGATTTCAAAGTAAAGTGTGCATGACAGAAATAATGCCATAGTTCTGCTCTTCTCACCAGAAATTATGACATTAATAATGACTCCAGGCATCCTCTCTTGAGACCTACTATGTCTCTGGCACCCTTCCTTGAAATTTACATATATTATTCTTAATCTTCTCACCTGACATTTCTTCCAATAATGTGTCAAATCTAAGATGCCACTGATTATAAGATACGCCATTATTTTATATGACCAAAACAAGGAAAATGCTGCAAACTAAATTATGATATGATCCTTTGTTACCTCTTAGAATTACTTTATTCTTACTAAAGAGCTCTTTTAAACTCATTCAGACAAGAAAGTAACACCAACATTAACAAAACAAAGTCCACATGAGAGCAAGGTGACCCCGTAAAACACGCTGTCAACTGACACCGACTGTAAAATGCCGGGCTTACGACACACCGCAGTCCCAGAAATGTTAAAATGTGAAAAAACAGGCATCTTAGAACCTTTGAAATACAAAACTTTCTTGAGGGGATCAATGGCTTGGCGCTGAGGTCACACAGTGAGTAAGTGGGGTCCTGGGATTTGAAGCCGTGTCATTTGGACTCAGAGCCTTTTCTGGTCATGTCGCGCTACTTCCTATTTTACTGATAAGTTCCTTCCTTTACTAAGTACCAGTCAGGGCACTAAATGAGTATTAAAAATCAACGGCAAGTAAGCAGAAGGAAGGAAAGAGCACATGTACTTGCTGCACATCAAGGTATTTATATTACAGAAAAAAGGCACAAAAACTTAATGGGGCATCTCCTCTGAAGGAATTTAAAATCTAGCAGAGAACACACCCACACAAGACTATTCGTTCACAAGGTCCACACGTGAGTGTTATGGCGGAGAGAGAACGTGCAGGGATCAGAGAGGGGAAGTGACACCGGGCTGACGCACCTGTGCACAGGCTTCGTGGAGGGGGGACACTTCAGGAGGTCAGACATTCACGTGGAGGAGAGAGTACAGGGTACACTGTTCCAGGTAGAAGGAGTGACACCAGGAAGAGTGGGGCGGGAGAGGAATGTCATCCATATTAAAAAGGGTGAGTAATTTTAGAATTTGGATACAGCAGGTGAAGCGAACAGTGTGGCCTGAAAGCCACCCTCTCACCCTAGGTGGGAGCACGGCAAGGACACGGAGCGCAGCAGGCGGAGGACAGCAGCGACTGGCGTGGGGCAGGTGCGGAGGGGTGGTGCAGGCATCAAGGAAGCAGGAGCCACAGAAGACAAAGGGTCAAACTTTTTGAAAGTCAGATTCCAGAATAAAGAGATGAAGCACAATTTTAGATACTTGGTTTGAGGGGCTCACAGAGAGCCAGATGGAAGGTTAACTGTTTAAGGTCATGCAGAAAAGTAACGACTGAGATGGCAGAGGGAGAGGAGAGAGTGATGGGGGTGGCGAGATGGACGCCTGTGTGGGAGGAAGAGCCGGCAAAGGGGAATGGGGAGGGGCAGCAAGAGGGGCTGCAGTCCCGCACAGCGGACAGCCCAGGACCTGGCGCACGTGCGCCCAAGGCAGTCTGTCCAGTGGACCAAAGAGCAAGTCTAATGAAGGAGATGGCCAGGCAAGGGGAGGTAAACTGACCCACATATTCTGTAAAGAGATCATGCTGAGTTTATTTTGTAGAATATATGAAATGCACTCAAACACAAAACTTTTCAAAATACTCACCAAACATCCACACGTCACTAGCTGAGGTAAAACGTCGAAAATTGATGGACTCCGGAGCCATCCATTTAATAGGCAATTTTCCTTTGGAAGCTAGAAGATTAATTTCAGAGAGTGAATTTTCCTTGTCATCTGCTGAAGAATCTAACAGTTAGAGCAGCTGACATTTTGGTATCAAAATAAAAAGCTTTAAGTATTGGACGCTTGGACTTTGTTTCTCTGGGAGAGCTATTTTTGTTTCCTCGATGTTCTGAGGTCATTTGGAAGTGATGAGCGGTCAGACAGGGTCGGGAAGTACAGCCGCGACACGCTTCTGTCTGAGGAGCGGTGGAGGCAGAGCGGGGAGCGGGAGCTCGCCAGCCGGAAGCACTAGCTTGCCGCTGCTGTGCAGAGCTTCACGACTTCCCCAAACAGGTCCTGATCTTTGGTTGGAATGCTTGCTCTAGAAATGGCCTCCTAATGACACACAGTTTATTCCCATTCACAGTACCTAAAGACTCCTTGAACACTGGGTCACTGCTCCTGGGAGAAATGTGTACACTCATGCACATCTCACATAGATTACAATCTTAAATCCTGGTAGGTTCTGCTTTCTTCAAAGTGAGGTTCAGCCATGTGTAGGTGACTTGCCTGAGCCCACTGCAGTAAGAGGCGCCACGGCTGGGATTTAAACCCATCCATCTGGCCCAGAGGCAGAGGTGCCTGCCTGCTGCTGCACTGCCCCCTGTCCCCATCCTCCAGCTGAATCCGACACAGATTTTCCACTGCCCCAGTCATGTCCATGGCTATAAGAGCATCGCAAGACTGATTTGGGGAGTTACAGGTTCTACCGAATAGGCGAAAGTGCAAATACGGAATCCACAAAAATGAGGGCTGACTATACCTTCATCAGTATATGCAGAGCACGAGCAAGCAATGGAAGAAAAAAGGATATTTCTTACGAAAGCCTGAAATTGTCCCTCTTTTGAGGCCTAAAAACTTCCCTTTGTGTCACAAAGGAAAAACAGCTCACCACTTCACTAATCATTCCTTCATTTGTGGGTTACAAGATGAACAACCCAGAGTATCTTTCTTCAAGGAATTTGAATTCTAAAAGAAACGGAATCTACTCACATAGGGTGTATGGAGATAGCGAATAAATGCCACTTGCCCCTGAAGTAGAGAGAACAATGCTGAGAGATGTGTCAGGGAAGCTGTGGGGCAGGGACACAGGAGCAGGGAGTGAGTCCCCAGTGCAAAGGGGCTGGGGCAGGGGCACCTGAGCCCTGCCAGTGGCGGCAAGGGTCTGGACTTTCTTCTGTAAGCCATGAGTGCGTCAGAAAACTTTAATCAAGAAATTAGTTCATTTATTTTTTTCTATTTAATTTCAAGTACCTTCGTAACAACTGAGATCAAATCCTGTTTGTTTCGTTCAAAACAAACTACTCCACACACTGTTTTGAATTGAAGAATCCCTAACTTTTAGGGGTTGGTTTTCTGAAGCCTAATGGAATCTATATTTACTATCTTTCTGGGATGACAATATATATGTGAATTTGTCAACTGCCTATTTTATTCATAGTTGGAATAAAGTTGATTAACAATTTACACTGGTTTCCAACACACAGAACAACATAGTGACATGATAGTTATACTCATTACTAGAGCTTGCCACAGTAAGTGTAGTTACCCTGTTACCACACCAGGTATTACAGTATTATTGGTTCTATTCTTTATGCTGTACTTCCATTCCTATGACTAATTTATTTTATAATTTGAAATTTGTACCTCTTTATCCCCTTTACCTATTTTACCCATTTCCCCACACCCTCCCTATGGTAACCAACAGTCTGTTAATATTTATAGATCTATTTCCTTTTTGTTTGTTCTGTTTCTTTAGATTCCACATGTAAGTGAAATCATATGGTATCTGTCTTTCTCTGCCTGGCTTACTTCACTTAGCATGATACGCTCTAGGTCCACCCATGTTGTCGCAAATGGCAAGAGTTCCTTCTTTTTGATGGCTGAGTAATATTCCATGTGTATATATACCACCTCTTCTTTATCCATTCTTCTTTTCATGGGCATTTGGGTTGCTTCTGAATCTTGGCTACTGCATGTCAACTGCCCATTTTAAGTGCTGTGGGGTGCGGGGCCTTGGTGGTGTACTGGCTGGAGTTCAGCTCTTCACTGGAGTTCTAGGACTTGGACTAGCTAGGATTTGAGGTGGATATGAAATGCATTTTAGAACAGCGGAAAGCTGATTTGGTTATTTTTAAGTTAAATGAACAAATAACTAAAATGAAAAAATAACCAAGAACTTCCTTTTCACATAATAAAGGATTAGGCTGTAGTATACAGAAAGCCTATGGGAAGAGAAGAGTCACAATCTGTAGTACAAAACCAAAGAGACTAGTTTTATATGTAGAAATTCAGGCCCACTTTGCTGCAATATGAAAATCAAACTGAGAAAGAAACTGGCCTTTGTAAAAGAGCAGTAATAATCAGAATGTATGCTGATAGCATAATATGGATTTACAACACAAACCTTAGCTGAAGCACTAGGAATATGAAAACCTATTAACAAAAATATTTATTCAATAATAATTTGAAGGATCAAATCAATCTGATTCCAAGTTGGCAATATTAAAGGAAAATCGTGTGTGCTAGACTTCAGTCTCTCGTTCTCTAAAGCCAGGCTGCCTTCACCCAGCCAGGACACCCAAGCCGGTCTGCTGTGATGCGTTGGTGTCCACCAGTGGAAGGACATCTGGTCAGAGGCCAGTGTTTGGCTACTAAAAATAAAGGTGCAGTGAACATTACATTTTATGTGACTGTTAAGTTTTTATTTCTCCGGAAGAAACGCCTGGAGTAGTACACTACTAGATCATATGGTAGTTGTATGTTTAGTTTCTTAAGAATCTGAGCAAAACTCTTTTCCAGAGTGACTGTACCATTTTACATTCTCACAAGCAATTTATGTAATTTAGCTTCTCTGCATCTTTGTCAGCACTTGGCATTAACACTATTTTTTCTTTTAGCTGTTCTGACAGGTGTGCAAAGGTATCTCATTGTGGTCTTAATTTACATTTCCCTAATGCATAAGATGTAAGAATATCTCCTCATGTGCTTATCAGCCATCTGTCCTCTTCAGTGAAATGATTATTCACATCTTTTGCCCATTTTCTAACTATACTGTTTCTTTTTTACTATTCAGTTTTAATAGTTCTTTTCATATGAAAGATACTAGTAGTCCCTTGTAGGATATGTGGTTGGCAAGTATTTTCTCTCATTCTGTAGCTTGTCTTTTCATCCTAACAGGGTTCTTTTGCAGAACAAAAATTTTTGATTTTGATGAGGTCTAATGTATTAATTTTTACTTTTATGGATGTTTTTGGTATCATAGCTAAGGACTCTCTCTGCCTGGTCCTAGATCCCAAAGGTTTATTCCTCTGTTTTCTCTATAACACAGAAAAGCTTTTTTCTATAAAAGTTCTACAGTTTTATGTTTTGTAATCCAGTCTATGATGCCCTTTGAGTTCATTCAGAGTGAGGTCAGGCCGAGGTCCACTTTTTGCCTGTGAATTGCCAGCACCATTTGTTGAAAGGCTGTCCTTCCTCCACTGAAATGGTTTTACATCTCTGTCAAAAACCAGCTGAAGACATTAGAACAGACCTTTTTAAAAAATAAAAATCATTAAAAATTTTGAGCTAATTTCTTATTTATTGCTCTGATTTCTTACCTTTGTAGTAAGTACTGTCTTCCATATATCGGGATAATCCAAAGTCTCCTAATTTCACACAATCATTTGAGGACACCAGAACATTCCGAGCAGCAATGTCCCTGAGAAGGAAGAATGTGAGACAGTAAATTTTACTACAAGGAAAACAATCCCACAAACTCATCTATATTATATAAAAACATGCTGACACTTTGAAAGATAGCTTATACACAATGCAAACAGGAGATTATACACTGAAAAAAAGGATACTTTTATTAATTTACTTAAAATAATAGTTCAGCATATATTTACTCATTAATATGATGATTAGTATTTTGAAAGATGGCAGAGTATGTTCCCCAACAATGAAACCATTTGTTACTTTTCGTACAATCACATTACCAACTGCATTAACAGACAGGCAGTAATACATGACTGGGGTCTATGTCCCTGCTATTACTAGGGGAGTCATTAAATAAAAGCTATCTTCTCTAAAACTGCTTTGCTGATACAGTTTAATGCTGGATAAAAAAAACTCTTAACACAAAATTGGCAAACACACTGCTAAGGGCTTTCATTACATTGGAACCGAAGGCTCAGATTATAAAGAGAAATGCAGCAGAAAGCCAACAGATGCCACTCATGACACGTGTCCTGCCGAGTCCCAGGGCAGCTTATTTTTCAGGCCCACATGTTAACTGTTCTGATGTCACGTGCAGGCTCTCTAGAAAGGAACATTTTTTTCAGGTAACAAAAAAATGTTTCCAACTCCATGTAAGGAAAAGTCTTTTAAACACGTGTGTTAACATGCCATGGCCCCTCACTTGGCTAGGACAGCCAGCACACCTTCCTAGTACTGTCCACATAAAACAGTCAAGCAGTACTAGGGGTCTCAAAGCACAGTGATCACGTACCTTTCCCTCTGAGCCCTCCACTACCCCCTCCCCAACTCAGAAGGCACAACACTGGACCTTACCTGTGCACGAATCTTTTGCTCTCTAGATAAGCAAGAGCTGTACTAAGCTGATAGGCATATAGGATCAGAGATGCTAGATCCAAACTGTATTTCCTCACTTGCAGAAATGACCTCAGCTGTTGGAACAGTGACCAAGACAAAACAGAAAAGAATTAGTGACAGAGAATACCTATCAACAACAAAGGGGCTGCACTCCACATTCATGCTGCCCTTTCCAAACACATGTTGAGTGGCTTCAATTCTCTCCTAAGAAAAAAAGAGAATAATGAATGAAACATATTAGCTCACTAATTATGGTTAATCATCCTTTATTTGAAGTCCTCTTGTGAAAGCAGAATCTTCTTGAGTACAGACAAATTTTTGAAAAAATACAGAAAGATGCTTCAAGGGAATGAATGAAAGCCTAGTTTAAAATACTGCTGGACAGTAATAGCTGGGAAACAAGAAACCTTATTAGGATTCAAATAAGCCCAGCACCCACCCCAGCACATCCACACTCCAAGCCTCACTGCATCTGGGTGGACCTGAGGACAAGGTGATGAGGCGGAAGGGGAAGCAAGAAGCAGTTTCTCTTCCCCCACATGACATTTTGGGTGCAGAAGGATAAAATGGTCATTGTTGGGTATTTGCCCCACTGGGCTTGCTGGCCCTTACTTCCACTGTCATGATTAACTGAGCTAAATGCTAACAGAGTAAAGAAAGGCAGATGAATTTAATACACTAATTCTACAAAAATCAACACATAAAGGACATTAAGCAACATTCTAAGCCAGAAGAATTAGCAAATTCTCCAAAAGCAAAAGCAGAAAGATACTGTGAATAATGAATACATATAAACACCCCATTTTATTTGGAAAGGTAGGGCAGAGGAAGACAAGCTGTTGTAGAGGCCTTAGAATACTTCCCCACCAAGCTATGGGATCAGATGCAGAAGAACAGTGGGAACCATTCGGCAGGAGGCTTTCAAAGGGGAGGCTGTTGCTGCCACAAAGCAAGGAAGGACCCAAACTACTCTCTGCCCTGGTAGCTGGAAATAAAGTACCCATTACAAGCGAAACTGTCTTTGCTGTCCTTTAGGACAGAAGGAATGTGTGTAACATTGTAGAAGGGTAAACGACTAAGTCTTCGTATCATAAAGTCAGGTGTCGACATCTGGAAAATCAACTCCTGTTTGTCCCCAACCAGGCAGGCTACAGGGCGGCCTGCAGATGGGAACAGTGCCAGGTCTATGCGTGCCCTGACCGTGGGTCTGACTGGACAGGCGGTGGGCAAGGGGCCTGTAATTTGCCCTTCTAGAAAGTTTCCAGGTGCTGGTGATGCACTGATAAAAGGGTTTCTGTGTTTGGGAGAAGTCAAATAAGGAGATCTGTTCATGTTCTGTTACTCACATTTCAAAAAGAAACTGACTGGTGCCAGCTGGCCTGAAAGACGCTGCAGAGCAAAATCTCCAAGAGGCTAAGCAACTGCTTAGATTTACCTAAATTCAGCGTTGATTTACCCACTGTCTATTAACATTGTTTCTTTCATCCTCAAACCACTGGGCTAATGATGTTGGTAATAGCACCAGAGAGGGAAAAAAAAAACCAAGAGTCCCTTGGTCACCTGTTGTTCCAGTCCTGGTAAAAGTTTCGGCTGCAGAAGACAGCTGCTGCCAGGACTGAGCCAGGGGATTACTCGGGAATCAATGGTGAAGAATCATATTCTCTGAACCAAAACCACAAGGGTACATCATACACTTCTTTTTCTTAAACAAAGGATATCATACACTGGGCGAAGGCTGGATGATAACTAGGCACAGGACCGCTACTAGCCATTGGATCCAAAGGGCTGGCAGTCCACCCAAACGGCTCAGGGCCAAGGGTCACGGTACCTCTCCAAGTGTGCACAGCTCCATGATTATCCAGACAGGGTTCTCTGTGATGACTCCAATCAGCTTCACGATATGAGGGTGGTCAAACTGACGCATCGTTACTAGGGAAAAACAGTTGTCCACAGTTACTTTTTTGATAAGGTGCAAGGTAATGGTGGTTCATGCCTTCTGTGTTTTCTTGGCCTAGCTGCTCTGTAAAAATAAGCTAGTTGAGACAGAAGTCATTGCCAGGTCTTGTCTTGTACTTAAGCCAGAGATGTAGGAATAGCATTAAGGATACACTTAGACTTCATCGATGAAGATACAATATGATTTACTCTTTGACTTCCTGATTTATTGGACTGTTGGGTGGTAAATATTTACTGAAAGAGGATGTAGAAGATGTTCACTCTAGTACATGTAAGGAAGGACACCAAGACCCATCTGTATGACCAATGTCTACTGAGTACCCTTCACAGATTAAGCCCTGAGCTGGGCACAGGGTCAGAGCAGTGAGCAAAACGGACATGGTCCTTGTTCCCAGGATGCTTAAAGTCTAGAGGAGGGAGAGACAATAACAATTTTTAAGCAACGTGTACTTAATTATGAAAACTTAGGAAGGAAAGAATACAGTCCTGTGAAGAAGCCTCCCCAGGAGAGAATGTTTTAAGTATGTGGTCAAATAAGAAGGGACAAGCCGCATGGAAGGAGCTGAGGGCAGTGGGAAAGAGCCTGATGACGTGAGTGCACAAGACCGGGCCCCGGCTCTCGAGGTCTGCACTCAGCAGAGACGGCCCACGCGCACACGACTCCCCCAAGGCAGCTTCCCCGTGGGGTGTGCGGGCTGAGAGCCGGAGGGTCGCGACTCTGTAGCAAGGCTTGTCCCTTCACTAGTCTGTGAGTTCCATGAGGGCAGGAGTGGCGTCTGTCCTGCTCCCCCAACTGTAGGGCCTGGCAGCATCTGGGCCAAGACTGTTTCTACATCTGCCCAATTCCGGTGCAAAGATGTGTAATGTTACAGGTACCAAGGATAAAGGGACAGTGAATTAATCTACCTTTTTACCAGAAATACCCCAAACACCATGGCTTACCTGGAATAATGTGTAGATAAGTACATCTACAAACAGAGATACTAACTTGCAAGGCAAGATAATAAATGTAGTTATCTTATTAAAGTAACAACATTTTTTTAATTCTTCAGAGACAGTTTGGATTTTATAGATGAAAAGTCAAATGAAGTTCCACAGCAATTTCTAGAAACTTACAGGCTTCTTGAAGGAATTTCTCTCTCACGCTGTCTGAAGTACAGTTTTTACATGTTTTAATTGCAACTGCCAAAGCTGGATTCTCCTGTCAGGGAAATTACAGAATCACACACACATGTAAAAAGAGGTTCTCTACATAAATCTGCATACATTCATGAAAAGCTGTTTGTTTTGCAAGTATGCGAAATCTGGACTAGGCAGAATCAGCACTATAAAATCTGGAGAGTAAGAGGACGCTTAAAATACTCAGCATAAAATCCCCAGCAAAGATGGGCATGCAAGTAAAATGCTTCAGGCAATTCACCGATTGATTCGTTCCACAGGCATTTGTTTTCTGCCTATATGCCAGGCACTTTCGGGATGTCATGCTTAGGTCACGTGAGCGAACAAGAGGCAGAGATCTCAGACTCCCGTTCTAGTGAAGGGCAGACAATGACCCCGCTAATCACGTGATGTGCCCCAGGGAAGGTGGGCAGGGGGTGCTGGCCAGGTGGGTGGGGCTGCACGCCAGGCAGACCCGCCTGAGTGGAGAAGAGGCCACAGCCAGAGCTGGAGGAGGGGAGCGAGAGGCTGCCCAGGGCAACCCAGGGGACAGCTCCGGCCAAGGAGCTGAGGCAGCAGCGCCTGGCGACACCGCGTGCAGCTGGAGGAGGGGTGAGGCAACGGAGGGCCGGGCCACGCGGGGCCTTTTAGGTCAGTAGAAAGATGCGGCTTTCACTGAGACGGGGACCGGGGCCAGTGGAGTGTCTGGGCAGCAGGGTGCCATGCCAACCTTGCTGAAGGTCATGCCACAGGGCTCCTGAGAAAAGGGCTTCCCCACGGGGCACTCTGGGTCGCTCTCTTCCCGGCACGGGTCTCTGCTCACATGCCCCCCTACCAGAGGGCTTCTCCGGCCACCCCCTCTTGCCCATGAAATCTCTGCTGAGTTACACTTTGACCCACTGATAAGAACCCTTGATAGAATGTTACTTGATCTTCTGGAACACTAAAGAGCATCATCTGGAAAAAGGATTTTTAATAGGAGCCCAGAGAAAAGAGCAGAGTCCTTCACACTATAAAATTAGACTCCCACATTGAAAACAGAATAAATACGTATCATACATACCAGAAAAATACTCAACAAAAAATGTGAATCCTGCTATTTTTCTAGGGTCTGGGATTCCACCAACAAATATTTAGTAAACCCTGGACTATGGATATTAAAAGAAATTATTCTCTTATATTTTCACAACTAAAATGGATTACTTACATTAAAGGGGAATGAAATGAAGTCTACCAACCCCACTATTATCTGTGCAATCCTGGTAAGTCACTGTACTGTGGGAACTTTAGAATGCTTGCCTACCAAGTATTTTAGAGACTGAAAGAAGCTTAGAGACCATTGGGTTCAACTGTAATAATTTAGTTAAGAAACCTCACCAACCTTATGTTCCACAGGCAGGTAGAGGCAGGTCTAAAATTTAGGTCTTTGACCAAATTTAGATCTAGGGTTCTTACTATTGCATTTTGCCTCGAAGAGCAGAGTTAAGAAAATTAAGAAGATGAATAATACAGATATAGTGAATACCAATTGGAAGAGGAGTTAACAGCTAAAAATATATAATAAATGATTTAATTTTACATAAGTACAAGGGTAAAGACTTCAAAACATTGAAAATGCATCTAATACACCCAATCTAGAGAACATCACAGCCTAGCTACCCTTAAATGTGTTCAGACACTCACATTAGCCAACAGTTGGCAAAATCCTCCAACACAAAGCCTATTTTATAATGAAGTGTTGACTATTTCATGCAATGTATTGAACACTGTACTGAAATGAAAAACAGGATGGCTGCACAGGGGCAGAATGGTTGTCAGTGCACCAGCCATTGACCCTCGTGATGGTGTATCTGGCTGGGAGCTGCACTCACTGCCCTGCCCAGCATCGGAAAGAGGATTGGACCACATGTCAGTCGCCCAGGAAATTATCCAAATTCAAAATTCCAAGTAGGCTTTCTAGTGAATGTGTACTGGTTTCGCACTACCATAAAGTAAAAAAAAAATTACAAGTTGGACTATTTTAAGTCAGGGACAATTTATGTATCTTTATCTTTGGACACCTGCTGTTATGCTAGTTAAAAAAAAAATTTCTTGAGCGAGTATGTACTATTATTTTAAAATTACTGATCTAATAAAAAAAGACACAAAATACCAAGTGTTAGTGGGGCTGTGGATAACCGGGCACTCTTACACACTGCTGCTAGGAATGGACAATGGTGCTGCTTTTTTGGAAAACAGTTCAGCATTAGTCAAAAAGTTAAATAGTTACCATATGACCCAGCAATTCCATTCCTAGACATACGCTCAAGTGGGCTAAAAGCTACGTAAACACACAAACTTGTGCATGAATGTTCACAGCAGATTTATTCGTAACAACCAAGAGGTGATGACTACCCAAATGCCCACTGACTGATAACAGATACGCAAAGAATGATACAGCCACACAATGGCATGTTATTTGGCAATAAAAAAATGAAGTACTGCTACGTGACACAATATGGATGAATCTTAAACACATTATGCTACTAGAGGAAACTAAACACAGAAGGCCTGACTCACATAAAATGTCCAAAGAGGCAAATTGTGTGACGGTTGCACAAGTCTCAATATACTAAAAACACACTGAATTGTATACTTTAAAATAATGAATTTTATAGTATAGTATGTGAATTATATAATTACGTGTGTGTGTGTATGTGTATATAGTTTTTAAAACTCATCTCTTTTGGAGGCCATTTGGGGCAGATTAATGCTCTGTTCTTGAAAACACAGCTAAGTGGGAATACTGACTAACTGCTGTGACTTTGGTCGTCTATTTGTCAACTCCATCCAGTGGAACACTCACCTATAGAATCTACTGGTGACAGAGGCTGAAAGACTAAAATGAACTAACTTTGCCATTTTTAGGTTCCTGAATATACCAACTAAGTTGGCATCTATGATGAGCTACAGAAAAGACAACCACAAATACTTCAAAGAACTAGGACTCGTGAAGACAAACCAGGCAATTTAAGCTTAAACAGCCAAAAAGTAGTCCAGAGTTTTGTCAGTCTTAAAGGACTTACTGGGCTCATATAAACGCCTTGATGTACATCCCCAAATTGGCCTTCTCCAATACATCGTCCAAGCTCTATTCTTTCTCTTTGAATCTCATAATCCCTGGCTGCAAAACATGATCCATATATTAAAAAATATTTTAAGCACAATATTCCAAATGTTGAAATAACGTCTGACACATTTCATCATCACCCCATGAGTAATAATGTCACTGGTGGCATATCATTCTAGGAAAATGCTTTAAACAGAGTGGAATTCTCTTAAACAGTATTTTAAAAGGAATTTATGTAACTGTTAGGGCATTGGTTAAGCTACCAAAATGATGAGTTCTACTAAAGGCAGTTTTTTTCACATTTTTAAATATCTGATTCAGTTTATATCTACTTGATGGTTTTCCAAATATCCTCTCCAAGTATTAAAGTATATGCTTTAATTAATAAGTGCTATTATTATTATTAGTTCAAGTATTAATACATGAAGGCTAAACAACAAAGCAATTATCTTACAAATAACTGAAGTTTGTAGATATAGAGGCAACAAAAATTGTGTCATGAGTAAATTCACATTTTAAAAGTTTAAGAGTTTTCCACTTCCTTAAAATCCTATCTCTATATTATTCATGGAGCTAAAAGAGTTTAAAGAGGTAGCTTCTAAAAACGAATTTCAAAATTAGATGACTTGGAATCAAGATCAAACATATCACATAATAAATTATGAGTATATTTTTATAGCATTTGCCTCATAAGAATGTATTCAATTGTGATTTATACAAAACCAACTATTGAGTAGGCTTTATGAGGCACATGGAGAGAAAATACCCACTAGGAATCAAGCAGATTGATTCTAATCCAATTAATTACTGAGCATCTGGTTTCTTCCATCAGGAAACTCATCCCCATATGTATATATGCCATTAGTATAACCACCAATGGAATACGACAAGAGCCAAACATTGTAACTTTTCTCCTTGGTTTATCAGAGTATTATCATACAGAAAATTCAGCCTGAAGTTTAAATGGTTATTTTCCTCTTTAAAATCACTTAGCTAGTAGTTCCATTGGTTTAACAACAAGAGTAAACCAATGAAAAACAGTTTAAAAATAAAAGTTAACTGAAAACTGAAACATCTCGTGTCACTCCACGGGTTGCAATTGCAAGCAAAGGCGGGTATGGTAGAGAACCCTGTTACCTTCATCTATCCCATAGCTTTCTGCATGGCCATGAGGAGAGAAAAAATCGAAGACCTTGCTTAGAAATAACTGATAGCATTAGGTTCACAACAACAAACTTGGGGAGTACATTTCAGTAACAGTTACTGTGTCAAATATTTTGACCACAAATATGAGTAAAAAGAGAGGACTAGACACAAGTAAAAACTAACTTTTCACAAGTTAACTCAGTGTGACATAAACAATACTTTAAAATTTTTATCTCATAAATTCCTATTGATAACTCATTTCTGTGCAGTCTGGATAAAAGTTGCCATGTTAGACATTTACTACTTAACTCCAATAATAAATATACAAACAAGAATGTGGATTTTCTACAGGAATGCACAAATGCCTCACCAAAAATTTAAACCTTTTTTTCAGTTGCTACTGCAAGTCAAAATGTACACACTTGAGTTTCAGCTCTTGCCTTTATTTTGAATCACCCTCTAATAAAGGAGCTCTTAAAAGAGGACCCAGGAGTCCGCCCAGGACAGCACATGCCTGAGAGGGGTGCGTCCCTTCTCTTTATTGTGGTACTGTCTCCTCAATGTATACAGTAAGTCTCATGAGAGTGTCCCTTAAAGTATTCACACAACTGAAGTAAAGCAACTGAAACATTTTATAAGTATATACAGCTCTAGTGAAATCAGAACATCAGATATTTAATTATTAAGGCCTCTGAGGCTGTCATGTGGACTCATAAATGAGCCTCTTTAAGAGGTAAGTTTAAAAATTATTTTATGCAAATGAAATTCTTAGGGTGTCCACAATTCAAGATCTGGGACTATGTACTCCAGTTCAGCCCAGAGGGCTTTCAGATTCTCCCCAGTCAACACATAGCCTGTGACAGAGAGAAGTGAAGGTTGACGCCTCTAGGCTCAGGAAGGTCTGTTTCTCTCCTCACACCTCCCACCCCAAGATGTATGAACAAATGCAGGAAGCTCTTTGCGACTAGTTAGTTAAGGGCAGTAAAGAACACAATTTCAAAGGGGAAATACAATTCACTGAATCTATGTATTCAAAGAATTGAATCTATATATGTATATACATTTAAATAATACTAATTTTCTATGGAGAAGAAACACTCTAACCAATAAAGGTTATATTATCACAGAGCCAGAAAACAAGATTACAAAAACTTCATCACGAAACTGACTTACTACAGACATTTGTGTTTTCAGCTTCTGACCTTAGAGTGGGCACATACAATAAACAACACTAAAGGCTGAAAAGAATATTTATGTTACACACTCAAAAAGGTACTAAAAATAGTTCTAAAAGGGCAATAAATTTCTGTCAAATCTGCATGAGAACCAAATCAGAAGTCTACTTACTTGAGGGCATGGTGTAAGTATCTTCTTCATCTATAATCTCAGCATAATCGTCTGTCTCTGTAGGAAGGAAACAGATATGTTGGAAGAGGTTAAATACTTGACCTCCTGGCCTTCGTATAATTTGAAAAGGCAAAATGATCTGCCTAAATCCTCTACTATGTTGACATATTCTTAAAACACTATTACTCAATTTTTGCTTCACATCAGTCATTTATGGAAACAGAAGTGTATTGTGTTGTGACACAGACGTGTTTCTGAGAGCAAACAGAGCTAACACAAAAGCCCTTATGGGAAATAGAAAGATGTGAAACAACTATATATATTATTAAAATCCACCAATCTGCACTAACTGCAAAACTCTCCCTCAGCTATATACCAAGTACATGTTTAAAACCATACTGTTGTCTACTGGGGTTTCTCCAGACAGAACTGGTATCTCAGAAACTGGGTATCTCACATTTTTCAAAATTAAGACTCCACAGCATAATCTGAATGTTCTCCATTAGAAAACAAAGATGGCAGCCCGATTTTTGAAGAGATTAACTGTGCCAACTTATTTCATTTATTCAGGGTGAAAGCAACCCCAAAATTTATCTCTTACAACTTTTTCACTCAGATATTATCAGATATCAGATAATGTCCTAAGGGTAAAAGACTACCAAAAACATGAAGAAACAGCATACCAAAATGAGGTGTTTTCAGATAAAGCCAGGGGGCGCCACTGTTTCGACTTATTCCTTCAGTAACACAGTAACTTAAAAATCCAACACCCTATCAACGGGGGAAACCCATTTCAAGAAATAACCACTCACTTAAACAACACAGATTAACAATTACACTGAAAAAATCACACAAGTCTTATCTGTTTTCTCTTTGTGGGAAGAGGAAAACCTGCGGTCTTCAAGCGTAAGGGCTCAAGCGGACAGGCGAGGAGAGGAGAGGCGATACTTTCTGAACTACCATTGGAAAAAGCTCTACTTGGAAAATTTGACCTGGCATTAACCTTCAACCCCAGAGAAACTAAAAGCTAGAAGTTATTTTTTCTGTGCCGCAATTTTACTTCATTCAGGTATTAAAATGATAGAAATCAAAGAAAATAGAGAATATACATAGTTTATAGTCTCTAGGAACTAATCGTTCCCCATATCACTATGATGACGACTGAGATCAAACCTGAGTAAATGGAAGAATTCATTTACTTTGTAATGATCATTTAAAGTGATCAAAGTAAAAAAAAATTTCAGTCGGTGAATGTAAAGTCAATAAATGTATTCTCTTCAGACATGTAGCAAAGGTATGTAAACTCAGTTAAGTCCTGTGACAGGTGGGCGACCTGTATTATTCTCACATGCTTATAAGTAATACTGCTCCAATTAAAGGAAAATCTAATCTTAACAGTCTTTTATTTCTGTGTTTCTCCTTCTTACCCTGTTCCCAGTAAACACTAAGAACAGTAAATTGGCATTTTTAGACCAAAAGCTTTCATTTTGTGTAAGATGGCTTAAATAAGAGACCCTATGAAATAAGATCCGGAGATGGAAGGAGGTTTGAAGGTGTGCGTGGGGAGCAGAGGACTAAGCGGGGAGGAATCTGCTGGGGGAGCTTGAGGCAGGGCGGCGACACAGGTCACACAGACACACCCGCTGGCCACTGATGCCCCGGAGGTCGTGATCCTCCAGCTCAGCTTGGCGCCCCTCCCCACGGCAAGCTCACTGCCCAGGCGCACGCCCGCACAGCCTCTGCCCTTCCCGCCGTCTTTAGACCAAAACACCCGCCATCAGAGAAGGAGCACGCCGGCGGAGGAGGGCGAGGACTGGCTGCGGAGGTGCTCCGACCTCCCCTCTGCTTCCCTTCCAGCCGCCCCACCACCAGCACTGCTCAGAATCCCGCAGGGCCCTGTGCTCAGCTCTCAGCCTCCTAGGGAGGTGCCATGGGCCAGTGCCCAGCAGGCACAGAGGCTTCCTGAGCTGTGGGGTCACTGCCTGCCTGGGCGTAAGCCTCCTGGTGACAGGTGCCTGCTGCCAGAGCCGCGAGGGTAGGAAACTGCTGGTGACAAAGCAGGGCCTCTTGTTGAGGGCTTACCACGAGCTAAAGCTCATGCTGGCTCAGGGCCAATTTGGTTCCAGCCAGTGTCACCTATTCAGACCCCTCAGGCTCATTCGCCCTTGGCGCCCGTGACTCTTTGACAGGCTACCTGTTTCACTGTCTTCAGTACCTGTCACTACCCACTACCTGGCAGTCCTCTGCTTTCTGTCCACTTGCCTGCCCCCCTCTTCAGAACAGAGACCCCCATGGGGGCAGAGCCCTTGTGTCTTGCTTATCACTCTGTTCTCAGCACCTAAAACAGCGCCTGGCAGAGAAGGCGCCCAGAAACACTAACCCTAAAGAATGCATATACTGCGACATGGTCCCACAAAACCAACGCAAGAAAGGTGCGTGGCCTGCGCACAGAGGGGGCAGAGCTGCAGGACATGGCTGCACACGCGGCCCATGTGTGTGGGGGGGCCTACCTGACCCCAAGAAGTTGCCTCACCTGCCCAGGCTTTAGCTGAGCCCTCATATACAAAATGAGAACATGTCTGCCTTGGGAGTCATTACAAGGATTACAGGGGCTGCGCAGAGCGCTAGGTGTGGCACCCCCACAACAGGGGGTTGGGCGGTTACAACTCCTGGTCTGCATCACCTGAGGCTCTCTGATAGGAACCTGGCAGCTGAGGCTGCTGGGGTTCCTGCCTGCTGTGACCCTTGGTCAGCCTTCCTGGTTTGACTACACTGGCTCCAGGGACTGCTTCCTACGATTTTGAAGGAGTAAAAATAGAATGGCTAATATACACCAAAACTGACCTGGGAAAAATCAGGGTGTGTACACTTCAATTAATTCACACATTCACAAGAAAGCCTGCATTTATTCTTCTGATGCCATATGAAGTCTCCGTAAAGCCTGTGGGGACCATCAAAGGCACCGGGAGCGACTCGTGGCAGTGTCCGGGGTGTGGATGTGTGCCACGAAAGAGTGCAGTTAGCAGCACCCGCCACCTCCTCGTGAAGCTCAGGAGGCACCGATGGTGCCTGGACCAAGTCCTCAGGTGCCAAGCCTGGGCTGGTTTCCCTAAGGATTGTTGACATGGATTTGGTTCTGTTTCCTATTTTCTCCCTGCCTTTTAGGATAACAGGGTAGCACTACACTGATCTGACAGTATTTTGGCATACTCGAGGGCCCCTGAAATACTGGACCCCAGGCTGAAACTGCCTGGGTCCTCCAAATAATGGCATGGTAGAGCAAAATCTGAAGGAAAAAAGCAAAGGGGCTTAAAGATCTGGGCACAAATAAAGGAAGCTAGAGCTGCATTCTCCACTAATGGCAATGACAACTGCTGTCATCGAGAGCTTACATCTGCCAGACACTGTTATGAACAACTACGGCTGCTGTCTTCTGAAGCTCGGGAAATCCCATCAGGTGGTTCTGTTACCATTAATCCCTGTTTCCCAGGCAGGCAACGGAAGCACCCAGAGGGTATGATTTTCAGTGTTCCTAAGAGCCAATCAGTGGGGGGCTGGTCTTCAGACAGCGTGTGGCACAGAGCCTGGGCTGGGAAGTTCCCAGCCTCATTCTTCATTGTCTTCCACAAAACTTATGGGGACTCTTACTTGTGAGACCAGATTTCCTACGCCTTGAGGCCCCGGACTGTCCCTGGGCTCTTTGGGACATGCCCCTCCCTACACCAGCGTGACCACGGTTTCATACCTGGGCCTGCACACCTGGGAGACAGTTTCAGGATGCCTGGCCCGTGAGTTAAATATTTCAAAATAAACATTTTTACAAATGGAAATGTCTAAAACCTTGGAGAACATTTTGATTTGAGAGGTTTGGTATGTAATTTGGTGGGAAAATTAAAATGACATGAAGATGTGTTAACAGGACAGAAACTGACAGCTCAGAAATTTTGAAAGAAAAGTATGAAGTTCAAGTTTTAAAGCAAAAGGTAGAAGAGACACAGTGACTTCACTACGGACAATGCTGACACAAGGCCACGTCCAAGGCTGATGCTCTGCCCGTGAGGAGGCTGATGCCGCCGGTGTTGCTGTGAAGGGTCAGTCTAGGGCCTGGGCGAGACAGCCAGTGGACGGCAGCTAGCATCACTTGGCTGTGAACTACAGGAAGTACACAAAAGCCTCCAGGCTCACAAACTTCTCAAGTGCTGACAACCTGCTGAATTTCCCAGGGAAGAGGGGGAAGACACTGTGATTCTGTCACACCTCCTCTCCTTGTGTGTCAGGAGACGTGACCCTCTTCTCCTTGGGCACGTGTGCCTTGGCTCGGACACCTGTGCCTCTGACAACCTGCTTCCGACTGGCCTCCGTGGGAAGCCGGACAAGCCATCCCCACACAGCAACGCCCCTACCGCGACGAGATGACTTACATAATTCAGTGCAACTCATCCTTTCGTAGCTTCTCACCCCACCCAGAGGACTGGGGCGGGCCACCGACCCTGCAGGCATGGGGAAGAAGCACAGGCAGCCAGGAAGGGCCTAACTGTTCCCTAGTATCAACCAGCTGCATGACCTAGACAGGGGTCAGCAAACTTCCGTAAAAGGTCAGATGGTAAAAATTTTAGAACTCTGCTAGTCACACAGTCTCTGCTGCAGCTACGCAACTGTGCTGCCCAGATACAGATGGTAAGCAGCCAGATACTACATGAACAAATGGGCACAGCTGTGCCCCAGTAAAACCTCACAGAAGGACACTGGAATCTGAGTTTCGTACAGTTTTGATGCCACTAATACTATTCTTCTTTTGATGGTCTCTCTAATCCTTAGAAATTGTAATAACCCTCCTTAGCTCCAGAGGCAGCACAGGGGCAACAGGAGGTAGGCTGTTTGGCCCAGGGCCTTCGTTTGTGGACCCCTGACCTAGACCAAGTGATCAACCCTTGAGGCTCAGCTCGCTTGCCTATAAAAAGGGGGTGAGACTACTTGCCCTGTCCACCCCATTGTGTCAGGCAGGTATGCGTCTCCATACACAAGCACATGGCAGGAAGCACCTGTGCATAAATGTGTGTGTGTGTACGCTTCACAGTAACTGTCACAACAACACAGGGCCTTTTACAGTGAAGACACAATCAACGAAGCAGTTGGCTCAGGATCACTCTGCTGTCAGTCATGACAGGACCAGCAGAGAAATAGCCAGGCTGGAGCCTGAGGCCTGACCATGTGTTTTCTAGCAGCTGGGACAAGTCTATATCTCAGCCCCCAATCATTAGTCCCCCACTGACCTAACAATGTGGACAACGCGGTGACAGTCTGAGTCAGTGCTGTGAGAATCAGGAGTGACACTGGCCAAGTGCCAGCACACAGGAAGCTCTCCATGCAGAGCCAGCCACCTAGTCACCACCAAGGAGTCAGTCTTAAAGGGAAACTCTGATCTTCTGCCTCCAAGTAAGTCCCAGGAAGAAGATGCGCTTTTCCAAAGTCATGTTTAGTCAAGATCTTTCACTGCAAGGGCTTTGCTCATTGTGCTCAAATTATGGACTCTGCGCCAGCGGACACAGCGGACACCTTCAGTAAAAGCATTCTTCCATTTACTGATGAAAAATGCAGCTTCCCCACTTAATTTCAGTTTATAAAATCTAAGTCCTTAAGCGTATAAAGTTTCAGGCAGGAAGTACACCAAATAAATGGGAAACGTAAGACACCAGTGGTGACTTTTAAATTTCTAGTTTATTAAAAACTATCCTTAGCTGCTTAAAAAATAATCATTATCACTATTGCTGATGTTTCTCCGATTACTTCACATGACTCTTAAAAATCACCTTTTGTTCTTCTCTCCCCACTACCTCATTTCCCACTAAGAACTGTTACATGTACATGTATATCCCATACTGGGGAGCAGTGTGTGGACCTCCATCACTTACTACTTTCAAGTATGATTAATCTTGTTGAATAACATTTTGACAACTTTTCTAGAAGTTTTAAGTTCTAATAATGGCATCTAGAAAATTTACTATGAACATACACAACTCAAACATATCACTGAGATGTGATAAAGAAATGGACAGTTACCTTTTCCATGACAAATCCCTAATTTTTAGGAGATCATTTGTTCCACCATCATTTTTTCAAGCTTGTTGGATCAAAACCACATTCTGCCTTTCATTAAATACTGAACTATATTTATATCAATAGATATCCCATACTTGTAACACAAACGTGAAAATAAGTATTACCGTCCCCACTAATTTCATCTGCAGATCCAGGTGGCGTGCAAAGAAAGGGGGAGCAGGAACGAGGGAGGGGAGAGAGGGAAACACACTATTAAAATGACAAGTCATAACAGTGCAAGGAAAACAAAAATAATCCCCAAAAGATATAAGAGAGGTGGTAGCAATTAAGTGTATTTACTTGATTTAAGGTCATCAGGCCAAGTTTTCAGCTGTAAAGATTATACAAAGCTACACAGCAGCCCTGTAGAGTTCACACTGGATTCTATGCACTGAGCAATATTAGTTTGATTGCCTCTCACAATTAAGCATTAAAAATGGCTCTACTTCCCTCAGAGGGGATTTGTACCTGCTTAGCTAAAATGAAAACTAGTCATTAATGTGTACAGGAAGGAAAAGCAGGGGGACAGTGCAGCCTGGCCCTCCCAGGGGCCACTGGTGCTGTCATGTGTGAGCTCCCCCCAGGCCCAGCACACTCGTGAGGAGCACTACGGAGGGACAGTCAGGTTCGTTTAGTATCTAGTGTCTGTGGAAATTCCTGTTCAGATTACTACGATCTTTGCTTTCCTAGAAAACTCCAGGTGGCCTGGCTGCCTCTACTTTAAGGCATCCCTGAGTATCTGCTCCCAAAGCATGAAAAGCTACCACTGGAGCCTGTCGTGACCAAGCTCCTCCATTCGGCTGCGTTCTGTATTAGGGACCCACAGTGCGGAAACATGGTATCACTGGCCCCTATGGTAACACTAAGACCCCGCAGACGAAACCGGCAAGCCACTTCTCACCCCGGCATGCATTTAAAACCCCCAAACAGGCAAACAAAGAGGTGTCTGTCAGGAGAGCTGCCCAAGACAGTCAATGGGAGAGCTTGCCCCAGGCACCACTGCTGGGCAGTGGACAGCGCACATGGACACCCGACCACAGTGTGTAGCACTCAGCTGTCTACAAGCGTCTGGCACACACACACGGACACCCGACCACGGTATGCAGCACTCAGCCGTCCACAAGCATCTGGCACACACACACACCCGACCACAATGTGCAGCGCGCAGCCATATACAAGCATCTGGCACACACACGGACACCCGACCACGGTGTGCAGCGCTCAGCCGTCTACAAGCGTCTGGTCAGATCCGCTGCGGACCCCACTGCTAATGAGGCGCAAACAGGGTGCAGTACCCGAAGGAGCTTCACGGGAACAGAGGACCAAAGGGAGAAAGCGCCTAGCTCTCTTGGCTTTATGTTGGCAGTGACTGACTCCTTTACAAAGAGGCAAGAGGAGGAAAGAGAAAAACAGAAACACATTATTTCAATACAAAAAAAAAGTTATTACATTTTAAGGCAATCTATAAACACGAATACAAACCGCAATGCTTTCATTTCACTAAGGGCACACTTTGTTACCATGATTTCACTGAGTTTCAAAAAACATACTAGTACTTTAAAATGCAATTTCCTTTATCAGCAAAGATTAGCACTATCTACAGAAACTTTCAGTCAATCATCCGAGTCTCCTGGCTCTGAAGAGCCAGCTGAGTGAAGGTACAGATAGCATTACAAGTGACAAAATGGAAAAAAATCAAACAAGACAAAAAACAAATGCTAGTAAATGATTCAAGAATCTTGTGAACATCAAACATTCGAACAAAGAAACAACTGTAGAAACCAGCAGAGCTTGATTTGTGAAAGAGCTTTATAAGCAATTTTTCCCAAATCATCAGCAAAGACACTTTAAGTGTACATCTAAAAGAAATTACCTTCACATAAAAAGCTGGCCACATATGAATATGCAGGTGGCGGAGCCCCCTCTTTACTGGTGTCATCTGGTCATTCACTCCCTCGTTTATATCCTTCAAGCTCACTTGAAAGTCAGCTCTCTCTGTATGAGGCACTTGCAGATCAACGAGACACACCCCAGCTCGCCAGGAGCACAGAGCAAGGTAAAGCAGAGAAGCACACCACCACATGGTAAAGGCACAGCAGACACTTGCCAGAAACAATGGTGTGCAGCCCTTTAAGACTCAGCAGTGATAACGCGGCACACCAGACACAGGCGTCATGCAAAACTTATCCACAGACCAACATGGTCCAGGAAAGAAAGGTGAGGACCTGAGATGTGGGCCCAGGGACAGCACGTCAGGACTTGCGGGCATCACTGACATGACGGAGCAGAACAAGAACTGAAGCGTACCGTTTAGCAGCATTTTCAAACCTGCTGGAATTCCAACATTTGCCGAGGGTTCCGCCTTCCACCCTTACTATATTCCAAATTTCTGGACTTTTGGGTGGCAACCCTAGAGAGAGGAGCTCTCTGGTTCATAGGTTAAGAACATGGGTCTGATGTGAAAACTGAATGTACTGGGTCAGGCTGGATGGAATTCCTAACTGGGGAGGGATGGGGGTGTTGACAGGGATGAAATAGGAAGTGGACTGTGGGAAAGAGAAGAGCATGTGTCAGTGTAAAACTTCCTGATTTCAGTAATTGTACTGTGATTGTGTAACATGATAAGCTTGGTCTTCGGAAACACACACCAAAATATTTATAAGTGAAAAGGAACACCATGCCTGCAACGTGCTTCCAAAAGGTTCACGGGGACAAAAATAGAGTGAAGGACAGAGTAAGTGGGCCAACACATAAACATAATAATTCGAGCAAAGAATGTATGAGACTTCAGTTTACTACTCTCACAACCATTCTCTGAGCATGAAATCATGGAAAAACAAAAAAACACAAGAACATGTATTTGGATTCAGACACTGGGTTCACTACTTACTCCCCAACCTCGGAAGCTTCTCCCAGCTTCTGTACCTGGGTTCTTATTTGTAAGATGGGGTAGCAACAGAAATGTCCTCAGGTGCGAGCTGAGAGGGACTCCACGGGACTCCCTGGGCACCTTCCACAGGGCCACAACCCCTTAGCGGCTAGCTATCCCTACTTTTCTATTGTTTTATTTTATTTATAAACTGAAGATTCTTTTCTTAGGCTTAAAATGTAAGCAATTTTTTAAAAATGTAAGTACAAGTTTTCTTGAGTAACAGCAAGAATATTACCCCACATCATTCAGAAATGTGTTAGGCACCTTACTTTTACTCCAGATGATTACTTGAAGTACATTTGTTGAGCACCTACCATGAGCTAGGCGCACTGCACAAGTACAAGTGTGACACCACTGAAATGGGCCCCAAACTCCTACCTTACTGACCTTGTGTTCTGGGACAGGGAAAAGACAATAAACAGAAAAGTAAATATGTGGTATGTCAACAAGTGCTATAGACAGAAACAAGCGCAAGTGGGGCAGGGAGTGTTTTCTTGTGGGGCTGCCACTTTGAATACAGAAAGAGCCATCTGCATAGGCAGAGGGTGGTGCAAGCACTGGGCAGAAGGCCTGGGCAGAGCAAGTAGCCAAGCTCTGCAGAAGTGAGCCTGTGGCACTGAGCAACAGAGGTGGCTGTGGCAGAACAGACCTAGTACCTGCGGTGAGGGCTCCCGCATCAGGCAGATGGAAGCGGCAGGGAGAACTGCAGGACTTCTGGAACGGCCCATGGAGTGAGGGAGTGACAGGAACCTGGGCAAGGACACTGCATGGAAAGCAGGACCGTGAATCTATCTGGGGGACTAAACCAATCAGGATTTGCAGGGACTGGATATGGGAGGAGAAGAGAGTAGCACCAAGAATCACCCAAAGATTTTGGTCTGATCACCAGAAGAAAGGGACTGGCAGCAAGCCCAGCTGGTCAGTTTGGGATATTAAGTGTGAGACGCTTATTGGTCATCAGAGCTGGTACTGTGGGGAGGCATGTGGCTGCAAGAGTGGAGTTCAGGGAAGAATCTGGGGTTGAGATGAAAAGCTGGGAGTTGCCAGCATAACTGAGGCATGAAACGTAAGGATTCCTTATGGGGTGCCTGCGACTGGCAGGGTAGAGGCCCAAGGACTGAGTCCCAGGTCTTCAGACATGGAGGGGTGGGACAGCAGGAGGGAGGGAGGCAGGAAGGAAAGCAGAGGAGGGGCATCCTGGAACCAAGACATGGACAACTTCCCGAAGGACAAAGACAGCGGCAACCACTCCTCTGAAGGAGCCAGTGGTGTGGAGGTGGGGTCAGAGGGGTCTTTCAGGGCAGGGAAACCACAGCGTGTGATGTGCTGACAGAAAGACCCAGAGAGGAAGAAGAACCCTGATAGCAGGAGGGCAGGAAAAGTCTGGGTAGGTGGGACAATTCATGTACCATGAGACAGGGGCAGGCAAGACATAAGGACAAGATGCTCGCAGAGGCTCCCAGCTGACTGCATATTTTCCCAGCTTAGAGTGAAGGGTCTGCGCTTTCAGAAGAGAAGGTTTAAGTGGCCATCTGGGTCAGTGGCAGTGAGAGTGGACAGGAAAGCACAACACAACGGGCAGCATCAGGGTCCCACCGGAGGCATATGGTCAGGGATTTAAAGAGAGACCAAAGCGATGTGGCTGTTTTTGCCATTAAGGTTCAGCTGCACTACAGTGGGCACAGGGCAAACAGAGCTGGGTTTTGCCAGATACGTAAAAGAAAGCAAGAGCCAGATCCGGATTAAAGATGGCGGCATGAGAAGTGAGACAGAGACCTCCTCTCAAAAACACATGTAATATAAAAACAAAATTAATACAACTGACCGTGAAAGAACAACAGAAAAGAAGGCTGTACCAGACTGCATACACATGGAGAAAAGAACAGACCTCATGGAAGAGGGTAACGTACCAAAGCTGTGACCTGGTGGGACCCAAGCCCTCTGTACACCCCAGCTCACCGGTGGGAAGAAGAGAAACAGAGTGGGGACAGGGTGGCGGCCTAGGACTGCTGACACCCTTCCCTGGAGATCTGCTCTGGGAGCATGAACCTACACTGCATGGTGCTCTGGAGGTAAGTGGGGTTGAAAGCTAGAACAGACGGAACACTTGGAGAGACTGAGATTCTAGCAGCTTGTGGAAAACAGGAATCCACACCTGGCTGCTCTGGACAAAAGAAAGGCAGGCAGTCTGAGACTTCCTAACAGCAAGACGGCTACGAAAGGGACAAGGACTGCACAGAGCTTACTGCTCAGGAGAAAGGACAGGTGGACAAAATTGTCTGGGCGCACTCTGCCCAGAAGGTTGGGAACTTTCAGGAGCTTCAGGTGCTCCATCCCCTTGGCTGGCTACACAGCTCCCAGGACCCGCACCATGAAACACAGCCCGCTGAGCCTTCCTCCATGCCAGCCCACACTGGCTCACAAACAGGCAGCCCGTGCCCTGGCATCAGGCCAGCCAGAGGGAAGCCCTGCCTACCGCAGCTACAGATGCGAAGCACAGAGGCTCACACTTATGCACTCAGCCCACTGGCTCTGGCAGTGGAGACAGGCACAGCAGCCGGAAGCAAGAAACAGCTCTTTCCTTCCCCCCAGGCACCAGTGCCACTCCCCTTCAACCCCGACAACGCTCTAGGTGCTGAGCAGCTCGAGAGAGTAGAGGTTCTAGGCAACAGAGGGTGGCACACACAAATATGAAATCTCAAAGGAACCTAGCTCAAACCAAAATCCCACAAACACCAGAAAAAGAGCCAAGTGAAACTGAACTCATTAATCTTGCTAAAAGAAATTTCAAAATAAAAATCATAAATATGCTTAAAGAGGTTAGAAAAATATTCAAGAACTCAGGGATGAATTCTGGATGGAGATTCAATCATTAAGGAATGCAATACCTGAAATGAAAAATACAATGGAGGGATTTAAAAGCAGATAGATATAGTAGAGGACATGGTAAATGGAATAGAAATTAGAGAAGAGGAATTCAAAGAAGATGAGGCACAGAGAGAAAAAAAGGATCTCTAGGAATGAAACAATATTGAGAGAACTGTGTGACCAATCCAAAAGGAACAATATTCTCATTATAGGGGTAACAGAAGAAGAGAGAGAAAAAGGGATAGAAATTATCTTTCAGGAGGTAATTCCTGAAAACTTCCCCAATTAGAGGAAGGAGATAGATTCTCAGGCCGTGTAGGTGCACAGATCTCCCAACACAAGGGACCCAAGGAAGACAACACCAAGACATACAATAATTAAAATGGCAAAGATCAAGGATTAAGACAGAGTATTAAAAGCAGCCAGAGAGAAAAAAAAGATCACATACAAAGGAAAACCCATGAGGCTATCATTAGACTTCTCAACAGAAACCTTACAGCCCAGAAGGGAGGGGCATGATGTATTTAATACAATGAAGCAGAAGGACCTTGAACCAAGATTACTTTACCCAGCAAG